GTGGGCAAGAGACTTGACCCTAGAGGGGCTACCAGGTGCCCAAACTGAGGTCCCCAGTTAGTTCCTTGGGCAGCTGAGGATAGGGAACCTGAAATGACCCTATCCTAGAGCAATACTGACGAATATCTTGCATATCATCATAGAACCTTCATCTGGTGATGGATAGAGATAGAGACAGAGACCCACACAGGAGCACTGGACTGAGCTCCCAAGGTCCCAATGAGGAGCAGAAGGAGGGAGAACATGAGCAAAGAAGTCGGGACCACGAGGGGTGCACCCACCCAATGAGACAGTGGAGCTGATCTACTGGGAGCTCACCAAGGCCAGCTGGACTGGGACTGAAAAAGCATGGGATAAAACTGGACTCTCTGAACATGGCGAACAATGAGGGCTGATGAGACGCCAAGGACAATGGCACGGGGTTTTGATCCTACTTATGTGCTAGCTTTGTGGGAGCCTAGCCAGTTTGGATGTTCACCTTCCTAGATATGGACAGAGGGGGGAGGACCTAGGAGTTACCAGAGGGCAGGGAACCCTGACTGCTCTTTGGACTGGAGAGGGAGGGGGAGAGGAGTGGGGGGAGGGGGAGAAGGGTGGGAGGAGGGGGAGAAAGGTGGGAGGAGGGGGAGGGAATGGGAGGCTGGGAGGAGGTGGAATCTTGTTTTTTTTTCTCCTTTTCTCAATAAATAAAATAAAAGTAAAAGAACTTAAGACTTTTCATGGCAATGAGACACTTCTGCTCCTGGCAGACACAAGCATGGCCCCAGTTGCAGCACAGACCACATACAACAATATGGTACCTGATGGCAGCATATACCATAGAGCTTTTTTTCGAGAAGGCTCAATCCAGAAAGTGAACCATCCTAAATCTTGGACATCCCACCTGTTTTTCAGAACCAGGGTAGTCATGGAGCTGAGTAGCAGTGCTTAGTGCATTAGGGAGCTGAGCCTGTGAGAAATCCAGGCTGCAGCTTATCACCCTGCCAGCACAATATTTTTAAGGAGGTCCAATCCAGTAAATGAATTTTTCTCCATCACAGACATCCTGTTATTGCTCAGAGACAAGGTGATCTTTTGGCGGGTAGGGAATCTGGGGGCAGGATCCACTAGAGCTCCAGGCCTCTACACATCTGTGGTATCAGTGCCATCTTGCTGGTTCATTGAGTATGACCATCATACCTGTGGTCTGAGGGCAGCTGCACAGCTTGGTGTCTTCAGTTCACACCAAGTACCCACACTGCAAGTCACCATCTTGAATCAGTCTTCAAATATTTTTTTAAAGTTCTGACAACAGAAGTTACAGCTGTGCCAAGACACATTTCCTTGAGATAGAACCATTCTCTCTGCCACTCTATACTGATTTTCTAACATCAGGGCCTCACTCCAGCTCTGGCTTGGGTTGCAGCAGCTGTGGCATCCATGTTTGAGGCTCCTCCTTGGTGATTGCAGACCTGTAATGCATTCTGCTGCAAGATACCCAGGGCAGTGGGGAGAGAGTGTGGGAGAGACTTGATTCCTCTGCCTCCCCTTAGCCCTCTACAGAAGGCATGTGATTCACAAATCTTGGCTCAATCCTATCTTCCCTGGATTATTTTTAATGTAACAGTCATTCAAAAGAAATGAAAAAATTTTCATATCTGGTCATAAAATGGAGGTCACAAATATGATTGTAATTCAGGTTTATGGTATGAGTACAAACTCATACCAAACACTTATTTAATTTAGAATCACCCATAGTCTCCCAAGAACCCATAACTATAGTCATCTATGATCATTTTCATCTTTGATGTGACCACAGATTATGAATTGATTTTGATAATTTTATTAGTATAAGAGGTCCTTCTGTTTTTGTGTTGCTTTCATTGGTTGAATAAAGAAACTACCTTGACCTTTAGATAAGAAAGAACTTAGATAGGCAGGGAAAAGAGAGCTGAATGCTGGGAGAAAGAAGGCAGGCAGAGAGAGCTGCCATGAAGTCACCAGAGTCAGACATGCTGAATCTTTCCTGGTAAGCCATGACCTCATGGTGACATGCAGATTATTAGAAATGGGTTGAATCAAGGGGGGAGAGTTAGCCAATAAGAGGCTAAAGTTTATGGGCCAAGCAGTGATGTGGGAAGGTCATTTGTTAATTTGTTGTTTCATTGGTTAATCAATAAAGAAAACTGCTTGGTCTGATAGGTCAGAAAATTAGGTAGATGGAGTAGACAGAACAGAATGCTGGGAAGAAGGGAAGTGAGCCAAACACCATGCCTCTCCTCTCTGAGGCAGATGTGATGAAGCTCCGACCCAAGATAGACGTAGGCTAGAATCTTCCTGGTAATTCACCACTTTGTGGTGCTACACAGATTATTAGATATGGGTTAACCAAGGTGTGAGAATTAGCCAGTAAGAGGCTAGAACTAATGGGCCTAGCATTGTTTAAATGAATACAGTTTGTGTGTTGTTATTTTGGGGTATAAGCTAGCCAGGCATCCAGGAGGTGGGAGGCAGGAATGCAGCCTGCTGCTCCTTCTACAGAGCAGCAATTTAAATAATATAATTTCTGTGTGGTTATTTTGGGAGTTAAGCTAGCCAGGCGGTGGGACACAGCCTGCTCTTCTCACAACAGAGTGGCTGCCCAATGTGGCCAACTAATGTCACGTAAAACCTGAGAGGACTTGAAAAGGAATTCTAGACACACGGAAAAAAACAGAGTTTGACAGAACTTTTTGCTGTTTACTGGTGGGGTGCCGCAAAAAGAATTTCCTCACTTAATAGCCACAACAGTAAAAAAGCTATAGCAGTTTTAAAATGCCGGCTTTCTGGGCTATGCTCCTAGCACAACCTCTGTCTCTTGGAGGAGACAGAGAATTTGGATGAGGTTTTATGAGTAAAGTGCTATGGCTTGCTTGATAGAAATGTGGACTGCTGTGTGCCTGCACCAAATGGCTCTGAGGCAGGAGCTGCTCCGCCATGCTGAACTGTGCTGATCTCAGGAAGGAACTCTCGTAATTATCATAATAATAGTGCAGTTAAGGTTTAGACTGGGCAGGAAACAGGTGGTACCTTATTTCCCCTACATGACACAACTTAAGTTTTTAAGAAGTGCTTAACATTTTAAGAAGTGTTTCTGAATAGTAAAGAATTACAGATTCACAATAGAATAGATTCAGACATAAAAGACTTCTAAATGGACCATGGTGTTAGATAAACTATGTAGGCTTGGGAGAGAAAAGATAAAGAGTAGAAAGTGTCATAATATAAAGTTAATGCTTTAAAAAAAAAGGGAAAAAGTCTTTAAAGAGACAAAGCAAAGTGATAAGAGTAGAAATAAGCCATGCAAAAATGGAAAATTCACAGAGAGTCTGGATTCTTTGTATTATTGGTGTTTTTTTTAATTTTTTGACTGTGAAGGAGTTAAATACAGAGAGACATTTCATTGTGTGGTCTCCTAAGCTAAACCAACATATATGTTCTAAAGGTATCATGACTTCCAAATTTGGCTCTAAGGATATGGTGCTTTGGAAAAGAGATTTTTCTTTTGTTTTCACAGAAGATGAGACCCTGTGGATTGCTTCTAGAACAATATGGTATGCTAGACCAAACCCTCCTGAAAGGTTGCTGTGAACACCCTCAAAAACTTACTTTGTTCAACTGCCAACTGAGATGAAACTAGCACATAGGATACAACATGAAAGACCTGATTAACAGCACGCCCATATAGCATGAAGCATTTTGGAGAGAAAAAACTGCACCCAAATTCCCAAATATTGTTTATAAATGTTATTTTACATTTAAAGGGGAATATGATATAGATATGAATAATTTGCATTGGTATGGATTTTGTTTTATTGATATAAATTTAAGGTCAATCTTATTTATGTATATGAGTTTCTGATTTGATTCAGGTATTATGATTGTATAGTTCATTTAAAAATGTAATGTATAATTAAGAAATATAGGTTAATAAATAATCCTCAATAATAGTCAAGTTTGTAGTCATGTTAGTTAGAATTTCTAGATGTGCATAGATAAATCTCAGATGGATAGGCATTCGTCATATCTTTCAAAGACTACAGAATATGGCATTTAAAATGTTTTAATAACTTAGGGTTTTTCATGACAATGAGACATGTCTGCTTCTGGAAACACCAATCTATATCAAAGAGGCCCCTTATGGAGTTTGTTAGCCATCTAGGCAAGAAACTTCTCCTGCCTGGACAGTTGCATAAACTGGAAATGAAAAACTCACAGAGAGAGGAGTGCTGAATTTGCCTAACATTGAGATGTTCCTTCGGGGTTCCTGATTCATGAAAGAAAAGAGTCTGCAAGACATTCTGCAGGACACAGAAGAAAGTAACTGAACTGTCTTCAAAATTTCCTGCTTCATGAAAAAGTCTTCTGGATACTATGGGCCTGTAGGCTGAAGATGGATGCCTCAATGGTACAAAATAACTTTGGGTGACTGTCTAGGAATTGAGTTGTCTCTGAAACTTCTAGAGTTCTGGAAATTTCTTACAATGTACTTCCTGTTTACTTAGGTAATATTACATCTTTCTGGACTCTTTGCTGGAACTGAAGAATAGATAGATAATTATAGTTTTCTGTAGTTATGATAAAAGATAAAATAGATAAAAATATTTTGACTGTAATTCTTGCTTAATAACTGTTTTGTTATATGTAACTTTACTATGTTTAAGTGGAAGCCTTTTTTTTTGTTTAAACAGAAAAGGGGAAATAATGCCGGAGGTCCTTTTGTATTTGTGTTGTTTTCATTGGTTGAATAAAGAAACTGCCTTGGCCTTTAGATAGGGAAGAACTTAGATAGGTGGAGAAAAGAGAGTTCAATGCTAGGAGAAAGAAGGCAGGCAAAGAGAGCTGCCATGGAGTGGCCAGAGTCAGATATGCTGAATTTTTCCCAGTAAGTCACGACCCCGTGGTGACATACAGATTATTAGAAATGGATTGAATCAAGGTGTGAGAGTTAGCCAATAAGAAGCTAGAGCTTATGAGCCAAGCAGTAATTTAATTAATACAATTTCTGTGTGGTTATTTCAGGGGTTAAGCTTGCAGGGCAGCAGGACACAGACGGCTCCTTTTACAACATTTTAAAAGATAACTAAATAAAGCTGTAACTGTAGATAACATGCTACAGATCTCCCATGATCACTTTGATACACTCTCTACACAAGCTGTGAGATGACTGGACACTGTAAAGTGTAGCTGTTGGGCCTGCTACAAATCCACTTCCTATGTATGTTGTTCCTGCCACTGCTGATCCCTCTGTTACTCAGGTAGGCATGATCTCCTTCTCCTCGGATGGGAACCCTAAAACAAAAAAACAAACAAAATTTCTGCAGTTGACCACTGCACTCCCCCCCAGCAATGATATTTCACTCGTGTCCACTGCTTGTTTATAGCATGAATCACAGAAAGGCAGAGTCCATGAGGAATCACCTGCACTAGTGTTACACCCAGTGACTTTTCCATTCTCAGGGTTCCATTTGGTGACCAAACCTTTGTCACTCATCCATGTTTAACCATGTACTGTGTGTAAAAAGCATTTGACAGGTGCTTGCTACCATGTTCACAAGAACTTCATCCATGAGTAGCATCCCAAGGGTGGTTTTCAATTCTACCTTAAAGTACTTTTCACATGTATGAAAGTGGAAGAAAATGGACTTAGTAAATTCTAAAGGTCTTTAATGATAGACATTTACCATTGCAGTGAAATGGGTCTGTTTAAAATGGCCATGCTCACATCCAAGTGCTGTCTTGGGTGCTCTTTGATGATGAGACTTTAGAGAACATTCCCAATGCCCCTGGAGTCTGTTTCTGTAACAGGTACAGCTGTACACACAGCTGTCTGACAAGTCCTGTCTAGCAGTTCTGTCTGCATCCTACAAGGGCAGTTAGCAGTAAGGAAAGATTTTTAAGTAGTGATAGCAGACAGCATCTACCTCTGATGCCATCATCAGGCTAATGACTTGGAGTAAAGTAACATTAAATAAAGCTAATGGATTAAAATTCATTGGGATATAGAGTTTATTGGGGACTGTCTATTGCATGTAACACACAACCAACACCAAGGACACCTCCAGTCCAAGGGTTTATTTTTCTTCCATACCAGCACATTTCCCTTCACATGACTCAGCAATTCACCTTTGACAGCCACGACTCACACAGTCACAACACTTGAACACAGTAGGAGGAAAAGCATTCTGAGAACATACAAGTTGTTATATTCGGTGTTGTCTGCCCACATCCAAGGGTGGTGTGATGACTCTCTGTGCAGGCTAATCCAGTGGTCAAATGGCCCCTTGTATCTCTTCAGGAAATTCTGTCATGAAACAGAAAACCAATATGTGTCTCTCAACTTCAGATACCATTGAGTGTCTCCAACTTACAGCTTCTTTTCAGGATGTCCACAGGTTTGAACTGAGAGTAATTGACTTTGGAACCTAAATAATCCTCAGTTCTCAGTGGATATATTTTACTGCCATAACCCATAGTATACTGACAACCACCCCTCCTTCTGTGGCTGAGAAAGTACCTTGTTAAATCAGTATTTACAGTTATTAACAGCTGTCACCTTAAGTTTGCAACACCTGCCAGTTTGGACAAAGACTTACATGACCATGTATACTTATGTTTGGTATGGGAGGTCCTTCTGTGTGTTGCTTTTATTGATTAATGAATAAAGAAACTGCTTTGGACCTATAGCAAGGTAGAACTTAGGTAGGCAGGGAAAGCTAGGCTGAATGCTGGGAGAAAGAAGGGTGGAATCAGAAAGAAACAATGGAGCTACCGCCAGAGTCAGACATGCCGAAATTTTGCCGGTAAGCCACTGCCACATGGCAATACACAGATTCATAAAATTGGGTAAAATTAATATATAAGAGTTAGCCAGTAGCTTAACTCCCCGGTCATTCAGCAGGGGCTGCTCCCCTCTGCTAAGGCCTCTCTCTCCCTAACCCATCCCAGCTTGCACCCAGGAACTTCCTCCCTTCTTCCTCCTTTCCGCAGGGCCACAAGATCCACCAGCTCAGCCTGTTTGGGCATTGGGACTGGGTGCTGAGGGCAACAGGGTGGGTGGAAGTTCCTTTGCTTCAATAACCTGCCTGCAGCAAGGTAGGCCTTTTGTCAGTGAGGTCCCTGGCCAGCAAGGGAACCTGATCCTGTTCCAGAAGATCCATCGGAGGGGTGAGTGTGTTCTTGGCGCACAGCAGGAGCCAGGAAATGAAGCACAGACATTCCCTGACTCCCTTCACTCCCTGGTCATTCGGCAGGGGCTGCTCCCCTCTGCTAAGGCCTCTCACTCCCTAACCCATCCCAGATTGCACCCAGGAACCTCCTCCCTTCTTCCTCCCTTCCCCGGGGACACAAGATCTGCCAGCTCAGCCTGTTTGGGCAATAAGACCGAGTGCTGAGGGCAATGGGGTAGGCAGGAGTGGGCAGGAGTTCCTTTGCTTCAATAGCCTGCCTGCAGCAAGGTAGGCCTTTTGTCAACGAGGACAAGGGAACCTGGCCAGCAAGGGAACCTCATCCTGTTCCATAAGATCTATCAGATAGCATTTGAAGGAAAAGATGGGCAGGCACCAAGGCGAGAAATCCTCCTCCAATCTGAAAAACAACATGAAAACACCAGAACCCAGTAATCTTACAACAGCAGGTCTCAAACACCCTAATGGAAAAAAATGACATTATGAAAGAAATAGAGTCCCTTAAACAGCATGTAAAAAAATGCCCGTATAGAAATGGATGAGAAGTATAACAAAAAGTTTGAAGAAAAGAATAAATACGTAAATGATACCCTGGGAAACCAAGAAAAAACAATCAAACAGGTAATGGAAACAGTTCAAAAATTGAAAACCGAAATGGAGGCAAGGAAGAAAACACAAACTGAGGGCCGACTGGATATGGAAAATCTAGGTCAATGAATAGAGAGTACAGAAACAAGCATAACCAATATAATACAAGAGAAAGAAGAAAGAATCTCAGATTCTGAAGACACCATAGAGAAAATAAATGCACTGATCAAAGAAAACAGCAAATACAACAAATTCTCATCACAAAAAATTCAGGAAATATGGGACACAATAAAAAGACCAAACTGAAGAATAATAGGGATAGAAGAAGGAGAAGAATTACAGCTCAAAGGCCCAGAAATTATATTTAACAAAATTATGGAAGAAAACTTTCCCAACATAAAGAAAGATATTCCTTTGAATATTCAAGAAGCATACAGAACACCAAATAGACTGGATCAAAAAAATCCCCTCGCCATATAATAATCAAAACACAAAACAAACAGATTAAAGAAAGAATTTTAAGAGCTGCAAAGGAAAAAGGTCAAGTGACTTATAAAGGTAAACCTATCAGACTTACACCTGACTTCTCTATGGAAACCATGAAGCCAAAAGGTCCTGGATAGAGGTACTGCAGAACTAAGATACCATGGATGCAAGCCCAGACTACTATACCCAGGCAAGGTATCATTCACTATCAATGGAGAAAACAAAATATTCCAGGATAAGAACAAATTTAAACAATACGTAGCCACAAATCCAGCCTTACAGAAAGTAATAGAAGGAAAATCACAACCCAAGGAATCCAACATTGCCGACACTGCCTACAATAACTCAGAAATCTAGTGACCCTTCACCAGCACAACTCAAAGAAGGAAAACACACAAACCCTACTACCAAAAAAATAATAACAACCAGAGTCAACAACCACTGGTCATTAATATCACTTAATATCAATGAACTCGATTCACTTATACAAAGATACAGGCTAAGAGACTGGATACGAATACAGGATCCAACATTCTACTGTTTACAAGAAGCACACCTCAACAACAAAGGCAGACATCTACTCAGAGTAAAGGGTTGGAAAAAGGTTTTTCAAGCAAATAGATCTAAGAAACAAGCGGGTGTGGCCATACTAATTTCTAATAAATCTGACTTCTAACTACAATCAACCAGCAGAGATCAACATGGTCATTTTATACTCATAACAGGAACAATTCATCAGGATGAAGTCTCAATATCTCAAATCATAGGGGAATATCTATGCCCCTAATATAAAAGCACCCACTTATGTAAAAGAAACATTGCTAGAACTCAAGGCAGATATCAAACCAAACACATTAATAGTAGGAGACTTCAACACACCTCTCTCACCAATGGACAGGTCAATCAGACAGAAACCAAACAGAGAAATAAGAGAATTAATGGAGGTAATAAAACAAATGGACTTAACAGACATCTATAGAACATTCCACCCAAATAGAAAAGACTATACCTTCTTCTCTGCAGCTCATGGAACCTTTTCGAAAATTGACCACGTACTCGGTAACAAAGCAAATCTCCACAGATACAAAAAAATTTTAGTGACCACCTGTGTCTTATCGGATCACCATGGATAAAAGTTAGAATTCAACAACAATGCTACCCCCAGAAAGCCGACAAACTCATGGAAACTGAACAGTCAACTACTGAACCACACCAGGGTCAAGGAAGAAGTTAAGAAAGAAATTAAAGTCTTCTTTGAATTTAATGAAAATAAAGAGACAACATACTCAAACCTATGGGACACTATGAAAGCAGTGCTAATAAGAAAGTTCATAGCACTAAGTGCCTACTTAAAGAAAACAGAGAAAGCACATATTGGAGACTTAACATCCCACAAGAAAGCTCTAGAAAATAAAGAAGCAGACTCACCTAGGAGGAGTAGAAGACTGGAAATAATCAAACTGAGGGCTGAAATCAACAAAATAGAAACACAGAAAACAATCCAAAGAATCAATGAAACAAAATATTGGTTCTTGGAGAAAATCAACAAGATCAAAAAAAAACCCCTATCCAAACTAATCAAACGACAGAGAGAAAACATGCAAATTAATAAGATCAGAAATGAAAAGGGGGACATAACCACAGACACAGAGGAAATTCAGAGAGTCATTAGATCTTACTACAAAAGCCTGTATGCCACAAAACTGGAAAATGCAAAGAAATGAACATTTTATTAGATAAGTACCATATACCAAAGTTAAACCAAGACCAGGTGAACAATCTAAATAGACCTGTTAGTCGCAAAGAATTACAAACTGTTATCAAAAATCTCCCTTCCAAAAAAAACCCCAGGACCAGATGGTTTCAACGCAGAATTCTACCAGAACTTCCAAGAAGAGCTAAAACCTATACTCCTAATGTATTTCACAATATAGAAACAGAAGAGTCATTGCCAAATTCCGTTTATGAAGCTACAGTTACCCTGATACCAAAACCACACAAAGACCCAACCAAGAAAGAGAATTACAGGCCAATTTCACTCATGAACATTGACTCAAAAATTCTCAATAAAATACTGGCAAACTGACTCCAAGAACACATTAGAAAAATTATCCATTATTATTAAGTAGGCTTCATCCCAGAGATGCAGGGCTGGTTCAACATATGCAAATCTATCTATGTAATCCATCATATAAATAAACTGAATGAAAAAAACATATGATCATTTCATTAAATGCTGAAAAAGCATTTGACAAAATTCAACACCCCTTTATGTTAAAGGTCTTAGAAAGATTAGGGATACAAATGTCATACCTAAATATAATAAAAGCTATTTACAGCAAGACGACAGCTAACATCAAATTAAACGAAGAAAAACTCAAAGCCATCCCACTAAAATCAGGAACACGACAAGGCTGTCCACTCTCTCCATACCTCTTCAATATAGTGCTTGAAGTTCTAGCAATAGCAATAAGACAACAAAGGGGATCAAGGGGATTCGAATTGGAAAGGAAAAAGTTAAACTTTTGTTATTTGCAGATGATATGATAGTATACATAAGCGACCCCAAAAATTCTACCAAAGAACTCCTACAGCTGACAAACACCTTTAGTAAGGGGGCAGGATACAAGATCAATTCCAAAAAATTAGTTGCCCTCCTATACACTAAGGATAAGGATGCAGAGAGGGAAATCGGAGAAGCATCACCTTTCACAATAGCCACAAATAGCTTAAAATGTCTTGGGGTAACTCTGACCAAGGAAGTGAAAGATATATTTGAAGAAAGAAATTGAAGAGGATACCAGAAAATGGAAGGATCTCCCTTGCTCTTGGATTGGGAGGATCAACATAGTAAAAATGGCAATTCCCCAAAAGCAATCTGTAGATTCAATGCAATCCCCATCAAAATTCTTCACAGACCTTGAGAGGACAATAATCAACTTTATATGGAAAAGCAAAAAACCAAGGATAGCCAAAACAATCTTATATAGTAAAGAAATATCTGGAGGCATTACCACCCCTGACTTCAAAGTCTATTACAGAGCTACAGTAATGAAAACAGCGTGGTACTGGCATAAACACAGAGAAGTCGACCAATGGAATCGTATAGAAGACCCAGGTTTTAGCCCACAAACCTATGAACACCTCATTTTTGATAAAGGAGCTAAAAGTATACAATGGAAGAAAGAGAGCATCTTCAACAAATGGTGCTGGCACAACTGGTTGTCAACCTGTAGAAGAATGAATATAGATCCATATCTATCACCATGCACAAAACTCAAGTCCAAATGGATTAAAGACCTCAATATCAGTCTGAACACACTGAACCTGATAGAAGAGAAAGTGAGAAGTACTCTACAATACAAGGGCACAGGAGACCACTTCCTTCATATAACCCCAGCAGCACAGACATTAAGGGCAACATTAAATAAATGTGACCTCTTGAAACTGAGAAGCTTCTGTAAAGCAAAGGACACTGTCACTAAGACAAAAAGGCAACCCACTGACTGGGAGGAGATCTTCACCAACTCCACAACAGACAAAGGTCTGATCTCCAAAATATATAAAGAACTCAAGAAACTAGACTTTAAAAGGCTAATTAACCCAATTTAAAAAATGGGGCACTGAACTGAACAGAGAATTCTCAACAGAAGAAGTTCAAATGGCCAAAAAACACTTAAGGTCATGCTCAGCCTCCTTAGCGATCAGGGAAATGCAAATCAAGACAACTTTGAGATATCATCTTACACCTGTCAGAATGGCTAAAATCAAAAACACTAATGATAGCCTTTGCTGGAGAGAATGTGGAGTAAGGGGTACACTCATCTATTGCTGGTGGAAATGCAAACTTGTGCAACCACTTTGGAAAGCAGTGTGGTGGTTTCTCAGGAAATTTGGGATCAACCTACAACAGGACACAGCAATACCACTCTTGGGAATATACCCAAGAGATGCCCTATCATACTACAAAAGTATTTGTTTAGCTATGTTCATAGTAGCATTATTTATAATTGCCAGAACCTGGAAACAACCTAGATGCCCTTCAATGGAAGAATGGATGAAGAAAGTGTGGAATATATACATATTAGAGTACTACTGAGAGGTAAAAAACAATGACTTCTTGAATTTTGCATGCAAATGGATGGAAATAGAAAACACTATCCTGAGTGAAGTAACCTAGACCCAAAAAGATGAACATGGGATGTACTCACTAATATTTGGTTTCTAGCCATAAATAAAGGACATTGAGCCTATAATTCGTAATCCTAGAGAAGCTAAATAAGAAGGTGAACCCAAAGAAAAACATATAGTTATCCTCCTGGATATTGGAAGTAGACAAGATTGCTGGGCAAAAATTGGGAACTGGGGGGGGATGGGGGAAAGGGGCAATGGGGAGAGAAAAATGAGAAGGGAAGGATGGGGAGAACTTGGGGGGAATGGGATGGATGGGATAAAGGAAGGGTGGATATGGGAGCAGGGAAGTATATATCTTAATTAAGGGAGCCATTTTAGGGTTGGCAAGAGTCTTGACTCTAGAGGGGTTCCCAGGGTCCATAGAGATGTCCCCAGCTAGGTCCTTGGGCATCTGAGGAGAGAGAGCCTAAAATGGCCCTATCCTATAGCCATACTAATGACTATTTTGCATATCACCATAGAACCTTCATTTGGCGATGGATGTAGATAGAGACAGAGACCCACATTGCAGCCCTGGACTGAGCTCCCAAGGTCCAAATGAGGAGCAGAAAGAGCGAGAACATAAGCAAGGTGTTCAGGACCGCGAGGGGTGCACACACACACTGAGACAATGGGGCTGATCACCAAGGCCAGCTGGACTGTGACTGAAAAGCATGGGATAAAACTGGACTCTCTGAACATGGCAGACAATGAGGGTTGCTGAGAAGCCAAGGACAATGAATGGCACTGGGTTTTGATTCTACTGCATGTACTGGCTTTGTGGGAGCCTAGCCTGTTTGGATGTTCACCTTCCTCGACCTGGATGGAGGGGGGAGGACCTTGGACTTCACACAGGGCAGGGAACCCTGACTGCTCTTTGGACTGGAGAGGGAGGTGGAGGGGAGTGGGGGGTGAGGAATGGGGGGAGGAGGAGGGAAAAGGGAGGCAGGGAGTAGGCAGAAATTTTTAATTAAAAAAAAGAAAGAAAAAAAAGTTAGCCAGTATGAAGCTAAAGCTAATGGCCAAGCAGTAATTGAAATAATATAGTTTCTGTATGATTATTTCAGGTTTAAGCTAAACTGGCAGCCAGAAAGAACAAGTGCCCTCCTTATAACAATCATGTTTCTCAGTCAAATGTATGTCTGGCCATGCAGGATGACTATTAGCATTACAAGAGAGAGTGCCTTTGGAGTATCTCAGGGTGACAGCCAGATGGGTTACTATCAAAAATGGCACATACTAATATGTGTCCCCCTGTCCCCTGTATGCCTGGGGTGGAATCCTCCCTCATGCTGCAGCCTTAAGTTCCCTATCTCAAGGCAGTAAATATTCAACAGAACAAACATCAAACCAATTTTGATCATTTCTTACCAGCTCTTCTTGGTTGTCAAATCGAGCTAGTTGAGCCCCTAGTGCCCTGCAGTAGTTCTGGCTGAATGGCCAGTTTTCCATGTCTTCAGAAAAATTAAAACATTTATTTCCAAATCCAATCCAGTTTCTTGGGCAAACAGCATAGGTTTTGTTGCGTGAGATCTGTTCTGTCTTTCCTGCTTTTGTAATGACAAAATAAAGAGAACTCCTCACTTCTCTGGATTTAACTATGGACAAATACCAGCATGCAAACATGGCGTAGTCAAACAAGTTTCTAATACCAAAACTTTGCTTGAGGACTTTCTGTTATCATATCACATACATTAAATCCATTTGAATATATGCTAGCTCTTGTTAGAGACTGTCAGAATGGTTATTATCAATAAATCTCACAGCATATACCAGAAGGGACACTTATTTATTGCTGGTGGGAGTATAAACTGATACATCCAGTATGGAGGCTCCTTTAAAAAGTTACAAACAGACCTTTTGTGACTCAGCTATGCCACTCCTGGGCATATGTGACAGAATACTACATCATAACACAGAGACCTGCACATCCGTGTCTACTGCTGCCCTGTGTACAATAGTAACAAAGTCACCTGACCTAGATGTCCATCAACTGATGAACAGATAATGAAATTGTAATATATGAATAAAACGGAATGTTATTCAGACACAAAGAAAAATGAAGCTTGAAAAAAAGTGGTGGACCTAGACAGTATAATATTAAACAAGGTCACACAAGCCCAGAAAGAAAGAGACCCCATATACTCCCTGATATGCCTGTCTCAGCCCATAATGCACAGCTGTTGAGTGTGAGCATGGTGTAACACGTAGAAAGGAGAACGAGGAAGAGTGTTGTAAGGTGATAAGCAAGAACAGGATTCAGCAAAGGGCTCATAAGCCATGAATAGGGCTATAAAGAGCATGGCTTTTCTAGTTTCAACTTTGTTGTTTTTTTTTCTAATTTGTGACAAATAAGAATATAAAAATGTAAATATAGTGAAAGTCTAAACCTTAACAAAAGCTCCATGGCTTCAGAACAGTTATTCTGTATTCAATAAGATTCATAGGAATGGGGACGTGTCAAGTGCGTAAGTGGCTATGCTAATAGAACTGTAATATGTTCATTTGTGAGTCCATCACAATAAAGTAATTTGTGTGTGTGTGTGTGTCTGTGTGTGTGTGAAACACATAAGGCAGCAAGGTTTCTGAGAACCACTTAGAAAAATAACAGGTATTTTTATTTCATAACTTTTATTTTTCTTCTTTGACAGGTAAGAATGACTATATGACTCTGTGGAAGGGCTACTGAGGGTAGAAATAAATGATGTGATAAGAAATATTAAATACTAGAAATGACGATGACACACTTATTTTTAGTGGAGAGCAATTTGTTGTAGTTGTTCCCAGTTCTTATACACACTACCATGAGGCTTTAATGAAAGGAACAAATGCAACAGGCCCTGAGGGTGACTGTTACTTAGAGCCTCCTGACAGTTTAGATTATACATACTAAGTCTTGTAGGCAAATGTTTGTCCATGTTTAGACTTGTATATTATTCATTGACATGGTTAAAGTTGATTTTATAAAACAATATCATGAATCATTATTCCAGCTATGGTAGGGAAGCTGTACAAGACTTTAGCACATTATTCCGAATAGTCTAAAACTAAAAGCTCAGGAACAGCATATTTCTGGAACATTCTATTTAATATTTTCAGACTATAGTTGAAGATGTTAACATAAACCATGGATCATGGTGGTTCTTTACCGTCCTTAACCATATTACTCTTCACTGTGCTCACTGACCCTAGCTGCAGCAGTTTCCTTGAGGCTGCTACTGGGTTTTTTTTCTCCTTGTCCTCCGCATTGAATAGTTTCCCCATGTAAGCATGTCTCCCACATCGCTCTAGAGGTTGCTGAATGTGCTCTTCCTAGGGATGCTGAGCCTGGCCGCCTGTGTTGTTCCTTCACTGCATCTTCCTGCTAGACCCTAAGTTTCCAGAGAACAGGAACTTCCAGTGTGTTCTCTCTGCCCTTCACACAGTGCCTAGCTCAGAGTGCCTGGCTCACAGTGCTCAGTAAGTGCAACTGACAGTATAGATGTAGACAGAATGCTGCAGGATCTGGAGAATGTCACTCACCTGACAATGACAGAGCCACAGAAAGTGCAATCACAGCTCCAGTGAGGACAATGATCACTGCATAACAGCAGTAAAGCCAAGCAGGAGACACGGGGGAGACAATTTTGAGACATTTTTCTTGGAGCTTTTTACCTGAAAAATATTAATATAAGAATGCCAACTTGGAGAATTTCTTAAGAAAAATTAAAGAAACTTAGCACAAACTTTACAATCACCTACATGTATCTGAAAGAGTGCTGCAAACCCCTTTCAAAGAAGGCCCTGGTCCATAAAGGATGGCCATGGTGGAAAGAAGACTAGAGATGCTAGAAACAGAAGTTCCCTGGGGTCTTCTGGTTACTGAACTGAGGGTGTATCATGAAAGGGCAGGAACCTAAAGGAGTGAGGATCACAGTGAAAAACAACAACAGTCAGCTGGATTTTTCTTCAGAAAGTGCTCTGGTTAGGAGTAATGAAAACATTAGGGAAAACTCAGTGTAAATAGACCTATTAACACACTAAGAAAAGAGGAAAATAGAAATATCAATACACAGCAAAATTATGCAAAAATAGGAATTAGAGCAACTTCCTCAACCCTATGAAAGTTATCAATTAAAAACAAAACAATAAATCCAACTACACTCTGCTTCATTCCCAAGGGTGCAGTTATTAATGCTTTCCCAGCAATCAGGAGCAGGAGTAGGATGTCTGATCTCTGTTCCAGGATGACTTCACAGGAGTCCACCAAGGGTAAAGAAATAGGGTCATGAAGCTGGAAAATTCCTCAGAACTTAAAATGACTCTTCCAGAGGACACAGGTTCAATTCCCAGCGCTCACAAGGTAGCTTACAACTGTGCCAACTCCAGTTCCAGGGGACTCATCACCCTCTATAGGTACCAGGCACTCACGTTACGAACAAACGTGCAGGCCAAACAGCCACATACATAAGATAAGATTCTTAAAGAAATAAAAGAAGGTTTACACTTCTTGAAAACAGATGAAGGGTTTCTCATCACAGATGATGCAGTTTTATCTGCATAAAAGTTATGACAATCCTATAAAAGACTACTGAATATAAAATATGAATTTACAAAGCTGCAGGATACAATATCAGCATGGTAAAGTCAGTTGTATTTTCTTGTCAAATGGAAATTGAAGTCTAAGACAGCACCATTTACAGTAATGACAGAAACCATAAAATTGTAAAGCTAAAAAAGGTTCATAATCAGCACAATAATTAACTACATTTAAAGTAATGAAGAAAACAGGAAAGGGCTAGGTTGTTGGGTCAGTTGTTAAGAGCACTTGTTGCTCTTGCAGAGGACCTGGGTTTGATTCTAGCACCCACATAGTAGCCTACAACCATCTATAATTCCAGTTTCTGGAATCTGACATGCTTTCCTGACCGTGGTGTGCACTGGAATGCATGTGATGCACAGATATTTATGCAGGCAAAACACTCATATGCATGAAAATTTTAACATTAAAAAGGAAAGAAATCAAGACAGATCTAAACACATAATTGTTCTGAGATATTTGTTCACACTCACACTCCAAGAGTGGCAATAAAGTTTAACATAGAATCACGGGGAAAACCTAGTGACTAACTGACCAGAATTAGACATAGAGGTTTTGGAGGACCCAGGATACAAATAGAGAGACAGAGGAAGTGGTAGGAAGGGGTTGAGATAGGTTTGCAGGCCCTTTTGTATCTGGACAGGAGAGAGAAATGTCACTGGACACTTATCTACTGCTTCTCTGATCAATCAGGTTTTTACCCCATTATCTGACTCCCAAGTTTTATTCAATAACAGAACAATATAAGAAGTAAAGGCTTCACATGATAAAACGGAACACTCAACATTGCTCATGTGTAAACAACTCCTGAACAAGTTTATATATGCAACACAGTATCACTTCCTGGTGGAGGGGGAAGTGATTGCCTTCTGAAAAAAAAAAACATAGCATCAAATTATTAAAAAAATACTAAGAAGGGGCTGGAGAGATGGCTCAGAGGTTAAGAGCATTGCCTGTTCTTCCAAAGGTCCTGAGTTCAATTCCCAGCAACCATATGGTGGCTCACAACCATTTGTAATGGGGTCTGGTGCCCTCTTCTGGCCTGCAGGCATACATGGAAGGAATGCTCTGTATACATAATAAATAAATAAATATTTAAAAAAATACTAAGAAAACTAAAAAGAAACTAGAATATTCAAAAATGATTATGAAGAAGGGTTGAATTCAGAAAGATCACACTGCCTCATGTCATGATTTATTAGAACAGAAATAAAGACAGCCTGGTGCTAGTAAACAAGTAGACAAAACAATATAGCAGAATAAAAGACTTGAGAAATGATATCAGGCACTCATCGTCAACAGATATTTAACAGAGATGTAGAGTTTTTAGACAGGGAGAGTGTGGCACCGCTCCAGTATGTGCTACTGAAACAACCTGGTATCTGTCTGCTAAAAACAAGACTCAAGATGAACTGTAGACCCGAGCACGAAGCTCAATATTGTAAAATCATTGGATTCTTTAAAAAGTGGGGAGAATCTTTGTGAACTTGTCTTGGTCAAAAAAAATCAGTAAATAACAGGAGGTTGATGAATTAGATGCTGATGTGAATCTAAAGTCTTTCTTTAAGGAAGGCAAAACTATGCAGCCAATATGAAGCTGTTTGTCCAGAAAGTCTACAATATGGTGATGTGCCCCCATCGTACCCACATACCCCATGCTGGAAGGAAAGCCTGCATTTAAGGTTTAAGAAAAAGGAAAAGAAACATTTATGTGCATATTTGTAGCAGTATTAAGGATCACTTTAAAAAAATGGAACATTTAAAATCACTCAAATGTCCCCAAGCTGATGACAAGGTAAACGCACCCTCTCTATAGAAGAAACAAGTTGGACCACAAGCCTGCACTTGCCTAGTTCTTATACCACTTTACCAGGGAAAATGTCCCCAAGGCTTCTGACTCAAACGTTCCTATACTAATCAGCAAGCTTAAGCAAGTTTACAGGCAGTAAGTCTCAGAAAATAGTTTCCTTCTGAGTAACTTTTAAAAAAAGACACCCAACTGTCACCGGAACACCCCAATTGCCGCAACCCTCTTCCTCCTCTCACTTCTCTACAAGTTTCTTGCCAGCTTTTCATAACTTCTTTGTATAACATTTGACTATGTGGTGTGTTTGCACACTTCTGAATTCAGAGCACCGTTTCTGTATCAGTGGTGCTGTGGATCCAGTGTTAGGATCTCACCAGCAGTGTATCTGACATGCTGTGGTCTGAAGAGCAGAATGTAATGCTGAGACAACGTGAATGAAGACAAGTGTGAAGTCTCTGCTTCAGGGATCCATTTTTTGGCATTCTGGCAAAGTAAGTGTGTAAGGGCTGGGGACAGAGGTACAAAGACTCTGCAAGTGGGAATGGGAAAGTTTGGGTAGGGGTAAAGGTGGTCTATATGTCCTTTATAAGTTATTGTTTAATATTTATTTTGTGTGTGTTACTGTTTTGTTTGGACTTATGTATATATTTGTGCTACATGCATGCCTAGTGTTAGGGGACCTCTGAAATATGTGTTGGATCCCTGCAATAGGAGTTAGGAGATTGTATGTGAGCCATCAAATGGGCTCTCTTAGAGGCAGGGCTGCTGATTGGCGAGCTTTCTGAGGGGACTGGGCCTGGAATCGGAGGTGCAAGACCAGAGTGTGGATGGGGCCCCCACCTGGAGATCACCAACAGGAGTATGGATCACAATTTCCCCATTTATTCACTGATAAATGTAAGTGGGTTTTTGTGAATGGTGTTTGTAATCAGAGACTGCTCATTCATTTCTGGGCCTCCCAGACCCAAAATAATGACACAGAAACTGTATTGATTGTAATACTGTGTTACTGGTAGGATTCATTTATTATGCTGGCCCCTGTCATCTGGCAGGATGAACCCAGGCAGTACCCTGGCCAGCCCAGGTCCCAATGGCTGTTGTGTTACTACCTAGTCTATATTCAGTTGCTATCTCTTTAAGAGACAGGCTCTGCCACCTACTGATTTTTTTTCCAGCTCTGCCTGCATGGAGTATTTGTCTCCCATGAAGCCTCTGGCTCCCACCTGCCTCCTGCCCCTTGGCCCACCATGGTCTCTCTCCCACCATTTTACAACACTTAAAATAATATACAATCAAGTACAAATATCTCTTGGGGAGGTAGAGAGGAAGTAGACAATACTGTCAATAAAGCGGTGTCAGATCTGGTGTTAAAAGGCACAGTGGGATGAGTACAGCCCACAATAATGTACGTTCTTCTAAAAGTAGCTGAGGAGTTTAATATATTCACCTTTAAGAAATTTTCCTAATGTGATCACTCTGCCAATGCAAAAATCCCAATAAGCCATATCACAACATTATTAAATAATATCCGGGTTTAATGGGATTTAATAAGATTCGTGTGCTTTGGGGTGGCCCTGAGGGGGAACCAGGTGGCCACAAATGTCACTACCAGGAGGAAGGAAAAGAGACCACTGAGGGAACCATTCTGGGGAAGCAGTTTAAGTAGACTGGGGGAGTGGTCAAGGGTTTGGCGGGCTGTCTTGACCCTCCTCCAGGGAGGGGTCAAAGCTTGGTTTGGCACAGGGACTGGGCCTCCAAAGATGGAGGCCAGAGACCCGGACTTACATTCACCATAATAAAGCTACGTGTATCTTCATTTTAATGGGTGAATCAAAAAACACATCCTCTTCCACAGTGAGCTGGGAGCTGTTCCATCTGGTTCACCAGCAGGGAGCCCCACTGGCAGGAGAAAAATCATCCCAGGACTTTGTTTTAAGCAGCCCTAGGCTTTGTCTCTGGTCTGGAAGGTGAAGAAGAAGCCGCCATCTTGGAAGTTCACCATCTTTATTGCTTAGTCATGGGCTCTCTTAAGGCCTTCACGGAATTTATCTAGCCCCTAATTCCTCAGAAATGCTTGGTTTAGCTGAGAAACAGTAGTATTGTTCCTGAGCTTTCTCTTTTGGTCAGAGGAGCCAGAGGAGGTGAAAGCTTCAGAGAGGCTGCAGGGAGTTCGAGAGAGCAGGGTCAGCAGACAGGAGATGAGAAGGTGAAACTTTCAGAGAAGCTGCAGAGAATTCAAGAGAGCTGGGTCCCCGACTTTAACCTAAGTCAGCTGCTTTAAGGACTGGTCACTGCCATGAGAACTTGGCTGTCATTTTCAGCCCATAGACAAGTCTGGAGAAGGAAGGAAAACTTTTCTTTTTAATGTTCCTCAGCACATCAGGTGCTCTGGCTTACCTTGAGGAATATGTGACTTGGTGGTCCCTAACTGCTTAGCCTCAACCCTTAAAGTCAGGGCAACAGAGGACATACCTGCTGCTCTACCACAAGGAGAGGCCTGGGTGTGTGCGGAGGGAGAGTCCTTTAGGTGTGCACTGGATGGCACGGGATGGGGCCGAGGGATTCAAGGGGATACAAGGAAGGCCTGGTTAGAAGGCTTTCCTCTCCAGTTTGTCCCCCACCATCCCAGACCAGAATTTCCACCACATCCGGGGCCTGTCCACCTAGAGGAACTCAGCCTGATCTCCTGAGGCTGCCACTAGACCTTTAAGCTAACAAAAATTGTGAACTCTGTGTTTCAAGAAATATTCTATTCCTAAACAAAAATATTAAAGTAGAGGTATAGTCATGTCTCAGCAGTGAAGAGCATTTGCTACCCCTGTAGAGAGAAGACTCGGTTCATTTCCAGCACCCACACAGTGGCTCACAATTGCCCAAGTCCAAGTCCAGGGGATTCAACACATTCTTCTGACCCCTGTGGGCCCAGGCATGCACCTAGTGCACAGACAAGCAGGAGAAACACACATACACGTAAAATGGATTTTAAAAGTTTTAAATTAAACGGAAAGAGATTTAAAGAATGAAATAGAAACATTTTCCAGAATGAGAGGATACGGTTTTAAAACAGCAATCTCCAATGTCCTTTTCCCATTATTTACCATAACCTGAAACTGTAGATGGATTTAGAGGTGGGATCAGTCTCCCATCCCCGACCTACAGAAAATCCTGGGATGCAGCACTAGGTAAAGTAGGACAGAGATTGTTCCCTGGTGCCACAGAATCATTTAAGACCTGAAAGAGAACACCTGTGTCCTAAGGAAAGGGGAGAATTTCTGACAGCCTGGAGGTTTGGGATGAAAATGCACATGCGGGTTGGGGGAGGGGGGGAGATGCACTGTGGGAGCCCAGAAAGGAAGGTGGGGGGAGGTGTGAGCAGGGGCACTTTAGGGGCACTGGATGGCAGCGACATGCCTTGAGCATGCCCAGGTTCCTCCAACCTGTCCTCTAGGAATCTGGACACTTACTTTGCTATAGGAACTCAGAAGAGCTGTTTATCTCTCCCTGAGGCAGCAGGTATCTCACAATCAAGTATGAGTGGCTGGGCTGGGCAGCTGTAAATGTCCTTCAGACTATGGAGAAACGTAATCTGATAGGCAGCTTCTTCAACCCTAACACCCACAACACAGGGCTACAGTTCTTTTAATCACAGTGAGTGAGGCAGCCTCATTGGCTACTTCAGTTCTCACAGGCACTCTGTGCCTCCCTCTGGCGGGAGTTTAAAGAGCGCAGATTCAACAAGTTCGCTGTTGGTTGCTCTTCCCCAAACATGTTTAAATAACATTCGCCATAACAGAATAATACAGAATTGCACTGCTGTGCTCCTACCCACCCTAGGGTTCCCCACCCGCTGCCTCACCGATCTGGAGAGACCCCTGTGGCAAACTAAACAGAGGAAGATTCCACTCCCCTGGTGAAGCTCCCCTTTCTCCCTTTAATTTAATTAACGATTCATTAAATACGTACGGTTTTCTCCCACGCGACCCGGGGAGGTGGCCTCCGCAGTTGACATTTTTATGAAGGCTATTCGCCACTTATCGTCTTGATGAAGCAAAGAGACTCTGGTGAATGAGAAGGACATCTGAAAACAGACCGGAAAAGCCTGTGGGCGCGGTTTAAATAAGCTCTGCCCAGCTGGTCTGTGATTTGTTGCCTGATTAATCATCCTGAATATTCACCCCTTTGACATAAAAAAAAGAAAAAGGCATAAAATCTGCTTCTTGTATGAACGGAATTACAAATTCGGAGAGGGACTCTGCAGGAAATGTGTACCGTAAATGAAATGTGTACTGCAAAGGAAACAAAGGGAACTTAGATTTGCAGATGTTTTAGATTTTGATAGCGCAAATTCTTTTAAATTAGAGCAGTTTTAAATTAGAACACTTTTCTCTGCTGCCAAGGTACGACGACAGGGGGAGGTTCACTGTCCTGGGGAAATCAAACTAAAAGCAAAACAGCTGCAAAAGAGTGAGATGTAATTGCCAGTCTCTTTTCGAGCCTTGTGAAAAGGGAAGTTTCTGGAAAGCAGCAGCACCTTCCACAGACCATTGTACAAGGCTGATTGCCCTTCAGTGACCAGAGAAGATGTGCAAGCCTATGAGTTCAGAGCCACCTTTCGTCCTCTTTTAAAAAAATGTATATTGGAGAGGGGAGAGAAGGGAAGAGAAGCAGAGAAAAATGTATAGCTCAATAAAATCAATTTTAAAAAAAGGAAAAAACATTTATTCCATCATATTGGAAAATATAAAAAAAATAAATGTATATTAACTTATGCATATTTGTGTTTTTCTGAACACATATATGTACACCTGTGGATGCCTGGTACTCCTAAACGCCAAAGAGAGCATCAGGTCTCCTGAAACTGAGCCCTCCTTTTATAGAGCCCTCTCAATACGTACTTATTGCTCTTCTCTGTCTCTCACCTTTATGACCATCAGGGTACTCAGAAGACTAGCTTTCCTCGCAATATATTAACAGACAGTTCCCACAAAACCAAAGGCTAAGAGCATCATCGGATACCATCAGATCCATGTAACAACACCCCCTCCCCCAACTTTGCTATAACTGCCTTTCTGGTATTTCCACCAATGTGCTTGAAAAGTGTCTTCACGTGTGGCTTCCACTGTTATGTGACTGTAAAGAAAGACTCCATTGCCAACTCAGAAAATGGAATTTGGGGAACTCTAAATCTGTGTTCACTCATTTTGTCTCCAGAGTAAACTCATACCTCCTCTGAGGTGACAGTTGTGTTTCCACACAAAATGGGCAGTGACTCTCTGGGAATCAGCAGGTTTAGACTGCTTTATTGGAATAGGGATGGGACCACTCTTTCCATGGCATGAAGGCTGAGCACATTTAGAGGGGCTGGTGTGTGTGTGTGTGTGTGTGTGTGTGTGTGTGTGTGTGTGTCTACCAGAAAGTCACAGCTGTGTTTATGGATTGATCGGGAACAGATGAGTTATTTTCATTGCCAGACATTCTGTTTCTGCAGATGGAACTGAACAGTCACTCTGTGGCTAAGGAATTCTTTATGGTTTGGGGCTACACAGCCCATTGCATCCTGACTCTATTCCTCATGACCTGAGGCTCTTATCCCAACTCTAGAAGGGTAAAAAAGAAAATGGTGGAAAGGGGCTGACATTTGGGGAGGCTGCTGGTGGATCCTAAAGGTGGAATGAGCATGTTGAGATGCTTTCAGGATAGATAAAAGCTGCTAGTCTGGGGGCATAGAGAGTCCAGTGTTGCTTTGGGCCAGGAAAGCAAGGAGTCTCTGTTGGAGGAAGTTGGTGAGAAGCTAAAAAGTCAAGGACCACACAAGAAAGTTAGCACAATTATAACAATTAGGCCTGCCAAGGGGACTACTGACAGTCCCCAAGCAGAGAGGGAGCCTTCCAGAAAGTATTGTCTACTCTTTCTCTTGTGTTTCTTCCCAGTAATTGTCTAGCATTTCCCCTTACTAGGCCAGGTTCACTCACATCAGAACAGCATTCCTTGCCCAGGAAGAACAGGTGCCCCCTCTTTCTGCAGTTCTTAAGTCCAACCCCTGTGGTTTTGGAAGACCACCACAGCCAGGGAATCTCTGAGTTTGTAGCATGGCTGTGCTTTGTTGTACCAGGGTCATGACTTCCTTTATATGGTTGCTCAGTTGGCTGTGCTGTACCTCTTGGAGTCCTATTGCTGTGCCAATGGTAGTTGCCCCTCTAGAGCCTTCTCCAGCAGTACAGGAGTAGAATGAGGCTTCTGTTTTCCCTGAAATGATGAACAAGATATTAATAAGTTTCCCATGCCAGGAGAACACTGGAGTCTGGAGTGAAAAAGACTGTGACACGTTTCCCCCCAGGGTACCTAGTGTAAGTGCAGTCCTGGCAGGCAAAGTAAGTCCCATTTGATGCCCTTGCCTTTGGAACCCAGTGGACATAATTTGTTTCTGATCCTACACAGTTGTCTTCTCTGATTATCTGAACCAGGGTTCTGGCTAAGTGGCGCAATTTGTTGACTAGTCAGTTTGTGTTAAGTTAGATATGCCTACTCTGTACATTTTCTTTGACTCTGCTAGTCTTTCTAGAAATCGACAGTCAGTGGAGGAGGTGGGGGGGGGGGGACAACTTCAGAGATGGTGGAGCAAAGCCTGATTGGAATAGGGAATGTAGGTAAATTAGAATATCAGCTTGGAGGGCAGTGGTTGTGGGGAAGGAGTGTGTTGGCTTTCTAAGGGCAGATTAAAGGAGTCAAAAAAGGAAGCAAAAGAGAAGCAAGTCTGACCTTCACAGAGGACCGTGCTGATTTTGGTGAAACAAAGTGGGGAAGGAGTCACCTCATATGGAAAGTCAACAGAGTCCTGCTCTGCTGACTTCCTCCCAGGGGTTAGTTCTGCTCTCCGGGAAAAAACTCACATGTTTACAGTTCCAGACAGGTCTCTTTATTGTTTTGCTTTAATTCTAACTTTCTTGCTCTAATTGTCTATACTTTCTCAGCTCTAATTCTGTCTCAATTCTAATTCCAATTCCAATTCTCTGTTACAAATCTCTATTCCAGTTCATTCTTGTTCTAAATACTCTATCTTCTATTCTTTTTCATCTTTGTCTTCATTTTCCTAAATTCTTTGCACTTCCAATCTTATTTCTTCCCAATCTTATTTCTTATACTGTTAAAAATTCCCAATCCATATATATATATACATATATATATATATATAGATATATAGATATATAGATATATGTGTGTGTGTTCCATAAATATTCCCAATCATATATATGTATATATATATACATATATATATATATGTATAACCATTTAATAGCAACTTGGTAGCAAAAAACAAAACTACAAGGAAAATTAGCAGGGACACAGGCACTTTTAAAAAATATACAACAAATCTCATCAGCTCGTTTGTAGCTAATCACAGATTCTGTTGTGAGTATGTTTCCACTGTCTCTTTAATGGCTCCCTACAGGATACAGTAGGAGAAAACTAAACCATGGAAAGATCTAAGGAAAAGGCAAAGAATACAAGCATTATTTAACATTTCTTAAGTGTGATTAATAATATCTGGACATGGTTAGTAAGTTAGATGCTATTGATCTCTTGAAGGGCTTTGACACCTGTAATACCACCCTAATTTGTCATAAATCTTTAAAGCGCTTAGATTCAGCAAGACCAGACACCTGCAGTTCCGCTCTGTGATAGTCCTCCTGTGATCACTCCACAAGTTCTTATATCTGGCCAAATCATACTATGAGGGAGTTAGAGAATGGGCTTCTACATTTTATTTTATTGCAGTGTGGGACAAAAGGTTTGACTTTTATTTTATTTCCCTAAACACACAGTTTAGGGAAAAAGTCATCGTTGTTGTTAGGCTGCAACTGCCGTGGTGAGAAATAAACCACAGAGCTCAACACCCACCCACCCCCACCCCCCAACCCCCAGCCCCCCATCCCACAACCCCCTACCACCCCACCCCCCCCACCCCACCCCCGCGCACCCCTGTCAGAGTTTATTAGTACAGGGCAGGGACAAGGGGAAGGAAGTATGGCTACCCAGAAAGAGGACCAAGAAAGGGCGAACAGGCAGGCAGAGCTTGCTTAAAAGGAAAAGCTTGCACATGCCTACAGAGACTTAATTAAACAGCCAAACAACCCATAACGTAGCCACGCAGTGCATAACGTAGCTACGCATCGCATAATGTGGCCATGCAAGCATGACACAGCCACGCAACACATGACGTTTCATGCTACTTATGACTTGGTGACCTATGGTCGCAGGGCCCCTGGGCTGGCTGGGTGATTGCCTATGGGCTGGGAGGGGGGAGTACCGAAGGTGGGAGTGAGTGTCAGTATAAAGCTGGAATCCTAACAGTCATCCAACTAACAGAACACAGGAAGACTGTGCCCAGAATATGAGGAATACACTTCAGAGGAGCATGTTATCGCACAAGAGAATCTGCAGTTAGAGACAGTATTCAAAAGGCAGTACTTTTAACAGGCAGTGCCTACGTGAGTTTAACCTCCTTCAAGCTAACCTCTTCTTATGGGCTGGACTTCTAAATGTCATCAGATCCACTGACATGAGGATCCCATGAACCCCACTCACTCACATGGAATCACATCTCACTTGCATGGAAGGATGAACCATGCATCCCATGCCATATGGGTAGATGAGCTAATGTGGATGAGACAAAATTCCCACGGGAACAAACTGGCTGCAACCTTTCTAGAAGCAGAAATGACATCCATAGTTCAGAAGCTGAGACTTACTGTCCAGTGCTGTGTGTGGTGACAGCTGTGGGAAGGAGTGTCTTAAGTGTACAAGATTGACTCTAGAGATGGTGACTTTGTTGCTGGAGCAGAGTTAAGATATGGTAGGGCAGTCTGTTGGGACATTGGTCAGCCTGTTTTTGAGAAAAGGATCATTTGTATTTTTTGCTGTTGCCTGCAGTGGGCAATGGCTGAAGGAGAACTGCTTCGTTTCTGTACATTAATGATGTTTCCTTTTGCTTAGGAAACCCCTTTCACTCAAGAGTAAGGTGTTGCATGTGTTATGCTGCAGATGTATTTGAAACCAATGTATATGTTGACTCTAAG